CTGATGGTCACTCTAGTTGAGCTCCATGACTGTATATGCAGATGGGAGAAACCTACAAAAGGACAAACATCACTGCATCACTCCACCGATCTGGGCTTTATGGCGGTGTGGCCAAACTCAATCCTCTCCTCAGTGAAGACACATGAAAACGCACTTGGAATTTGCAGAAAAAGCACCTAAAGGAGCCTCAGACTGTGAGAAACAAGATTCTCTGGTCTGATGAACCTAAATTCCAAGCATCATGTTTGGAGGAAAGCAGGCACTGCTCGTTACCTGCAAAGTACCATCCCAAAAGTAAAGTGTGCTGGTAGCAGCCTCATGCTGTGGGGCTGTTTTTCAGACTGAGGGACACATCAGAGAAGAAGAAAAGCTCAATGCACCAAAATATAGAGATTAATGAAAACCCAGACCAGAGCATTCAGAACCTCAGACTGGGCAGAAGGTTCACCTTCCAACAGGATAATGACTCTAAGCACACAGCAAGAGTGGCTTATAGACAACTCCGTGAATGTCCTTGAGTGGCCCAGCCAGAGCCTGGGATTGAACCCTATCAAATATTTCTGGAGAAACCTGAAAATGTGCGTCTGCCCCCATCCAACCTGACAGAGCTTGAGAGGTGAAGAGGCGAGGAGAAGAATGGCAGATAATTGCCAAATGATGATGATCAAAGCTTTTCGCATCATACCCAAAAAGATTTGAGGCTGTAATTGGTGCTAAAGGTCCTTCAACAAAGTATTGAGCAAAGGCTGTGAATACTTATGTACATGCGTTTTTTTGCGTTTTTTATTTGTAATAAATTTGCCAACTTCTTTCAACGTTGTCATTATGGGGTATTGTTTGTAGAATTTTGAGGAAAATAATTAATTTAATTCATTTTGGAATAAGGCTGTAACATAACAAAATGTGGAAAAAGTGAAGCGTTGTGAATGCTTTCCAGATGCACTGTTAAAATGATTAAATCTGTTGATTATCAATGATTTGACCAGAAATTCCTTATCGATACCAGTGATATTTTAGTATCACCAAGATACTATTAGAACTTTTATTAATATTTTGAATTTTTTTTTTTTCATGGTAGTTTTAGCTAAAGTTTTAGCAATTTAGTTGTGTGTTTTTGTCATTTTCATTATTTTTTATATTTCATTGAAATAAAAGAAGTTTAGTTTTTGTATATTTTATCTTATTTCAGTTAACTTTTATTTAGTTTTTTATGATTTTAGTCCAACATCATCTACTCACCATTTGCCCGTTCATGTCATTTTTGCCAGCTTTCACATTCATAAGAATCAACATTTCCAGCAAACCTCTCAGGCGCATCATTTGACAAACCAACTCTTGGATGCTAACATTCCCACGAGCACTGTGGGCTTTTAAGCAGGGTGTGTTTGGTTATTAAAGTGATGAATCTAGCATGCAGTCCTATAAATCTCTGCATATAGAGACATGTAGCAGGCTGAGGTTCCCAACAGGTCTCAGGCCCCGTCCACACGTAGACGCGCTTAGCTGTATACGCAAAAATTTTGTATCGTTTTGACGTTTCGTCCAGACGGATCCAGCGTTTTGGGGGAGAGAAACCGCTATTTTTTGAAACCGGGTACCAGATTGAATAAATCTAAAAACGACACCCTTGCGTTTTCGTGTGTGCGCGCCAATCCGTATATTTTGGGAAACGATGATGTCATCACCCCTTCGCTCACCCCCAGTCAGACACCGCCATGTCACGTAACAGCAACAACAACATGAACAAACACTGAACGATTGTCTTTTTACCTAACATTAACACAGATTAAAAAATTTATAGTTCCATGTTTGTTTGTATACCACGCGCAAGATTTATTCGCATAGTCCAAGTCTTCTTCTCCGTTTTTAGTTTATCTCTGTGGCAGAATTACAGCGCCACATACTGGTCTGGCATGTATACTACATCGTTTCCGTGGTTTCGTGTGTCGCAGATATTTCTTGAGACGAGGGGGAAAAAAAGATCGGATAGGGAAAGCTCTGGCTCCGTGTGGATGTAGCCTCAGAGCTCTATGTCCTCCAGAGCAGCATGCTTCCCCCGGTCACGCCGTCTGCTCACACTGGCTCCTCTCCAGCTCACTATATGACCAACACTACATGCTGTCCTCTCTCTCTCTCTCTCTAGGCTCACAGCCGCTCTAGACTAAACAAAGATTGGTGCTTAAAACATCTCGATATCTCTTAAACTCTCCCGGTGACCAAAAGCTTGTGGATGGAGATTTGAATTAACAGCTAGTGACAAGCTTCACTGCGTGCCTACAAATATCCAGTCAAGCGGCATCAGTCTCACACGGGGACATTAAAAATTGACTGACAATCAGTCACAATGAATCGCATCATTTGGATGCAGGAAAGCCAGACACTCACTCACTCTCGCAAACAAAACAGTAATTAAATCCAAAGTCCACTGCATTGTGTGCATGCTGTGAAAAGCATAACATAGGAAATGAAGAACTGGGACTCACCCCGTTATCACTAGCAGGACTCTGAACCTGCAGAGGAGTAGAAAGGCAATAAAATCACTCGCACCATCACTGAGTATTTACACGACACACATCATTACAGTCAGAAAGAGCTCAGACTTTTACAACCTACACGCAATGATTTTTTTAAAGCATATGCATAAAAAACTTGAACCCTAATGTTGTGTTCTGGTCATTTTGCATACAGGGTATAACAACTAAAGTCATTTTTGTACTGATTGGGATTTTTTCCCCACCTTGTAACACTTGTGATTTGAGTTTATGCACCTCAGTTTTGGAGTGAAAAAAGCATCAGGCCTATTTGTGTATATAATTTTAGCAATGTTCACTCAAAAACTGAAGCTCAGATCGATGAGGTCTACAACCAATCCATTTCAAAAAGAAATACAAAACCTGTGCTAACTGAACAAAAATGTGTTGATAAAAAGAATCATATCAATACAAGATATTTGTGAGCCATTTTTGTAGGCTGGTCATTTTTGACTGGGAAATCCAAACTAGGTAAATTTTTAACACAGTAATTAAACTAGTATAAAAAGTAAAAAATAATATATTTTCCTTACACATCCTAATCAATCAACTAACCTCATCATAAAATGTCAAATTATCCTATATTTTAAGAGATTTATTGACCTCGACACACAATTAAGATGGTCCACTCTATGATATCATATCCTGATTTGTTTTTTGTCCGCACCATATCTATATTTTAGATCCCGAAAGATAATAACTGTACATGTATATTCGCAGAAGGATACTTTTGTCAAGTTTTACTAAAATATAAATGCTCTCAATGTTAGCAGACATGCACTAAAAGCCACAAAACTCTCATTTTGATTTTATGAGGTCTTAAAAGATTAACCACAGAATTAAAGACTCAACACATGATTCAGAAGATCAGATGAAGGAACAGTACAAAACATGAAGAATAAAAAAAAATGTACTAATTCCTGTGTTACGGCTGATAGACAAAGATTATTCACTCTTCTTTGACCTGTTTTATCACACACACATCAGCATTCAGGGCACCAGCTGCAGCTAAGCGGGCAGTGACTTGATGGTCAGAAAAGGCCCTCTGGGACTCAGATCACTGGCATCGGTTCAGTTCACATTGAGAGCTACAGTGAAATGTACCAGCCCAGTGGATTCAACCGGCGCACCAGAAACAATTCAACCGACCGCTGGACCTCTGCCAGCCCAGTGATGATGTGTTCAATCTGTCCCTCAGCTCAGCCAAATGATCACAAAAAATATATTCGTATTTTTTATATTATAGATTTGAACTGCATTTTTTCAAACATTTCAACATGTTGTTCAGTTTTTCAGCCTTTATGCCATATATAATCTCAGGAAAAAAAGAAAAAGAAAAAAAATAATTTTAACTTAACTGGGGCAGTACACTACCATTCAAAAGTTTGGGATCAAGATTTTTTTGTAAAGAAATTAATACTTTTATTAAGCAAGGATGCATTTAAAGTGAACAAAAGTGACAAAGACATGTTAACAAAAGATTTCCACATGAACCTGAAAAAAAAATGTATCACAGTTTACACAAAAATATTAAGCTGCACAACTATTTTCAACATTGATAATAATAATAATAATAATAAAGGTTTCTTGAGTGGCAAATTAGCATATTATAATTATTTCTGAAGGATCATGTGACACTGAAGACTGGAGTAATGATGCTGACAATTCTGCTTTGCCATCACTGGAATAAATTACATTTTAAAAATATTAAAACAGAAAACAGTTATTTTAAATTGTAACAATATTTCACAATATTACTGTTTTTACTCTGTTTTATCAAATAAATGCAGCCTTGGTGAGCATAAAAGTCTTCTTTCAAAAACATTATTTAGTCTGACCGACACCAAACTTTTGAACAGTAAAGTAAATGTCCCCTTTTTGCCTATTTTTATTAAGCAATGCTGCATATTATTAGTCATTAAAAGCTTGGCTCCTGACAATATGACAACATAATAGTGATTTTGGCTCAAATCCTGAATGGAAACTTCTAATACATTCCTCAACACAATGAATACTCTCTTGGTGTACTTCCGAGGTCAGCATCTGCTTTTTGTCTTGCACTACACTGTTCTAAAACTGTTTTTTTTTTTTTTGATGAATTTAGTGCATGGATAAAGTTCAAAACGGTGTTCAAATGGTGGAAGTGACTGATAACACCTTGCTGCTGCATATGCACAAACTGTACTTAAGGATTTTGTAAGTGTACACCGTCTTAGCAAACCTTTGAAATGTGCACGTAAGGGTTTAGACAGGAATGCAAACCACAAACACAGTGTGTATGGCTGTGAATATCTTCTGAGTCGAGTGAGTGTGTGTGTGTGTCTTTGCTCAAGACTGAACGGGTGGCAGAATCAATAGGATGTGGGCCAACTATTCTCAACTCCAGCACCAAACAGTCAGTGATGAAGGAGCAGAGACACTGGCTCTGAGTCCATGTTAAGATGGCTGCTGCTTTTTTGTGTTGATCCAATTTTTTTTTTTTTTTTACATGGATGAAGAGCAATTACAGCAAGAGGCTAGAGTGCTGCTTATTTTGGGGGTTACTTATCCAACAGATTATGAAACATAGGCTGGAAAAGCCATGAAATATGCTGCGATTAATCAGGTGTTTGGGCTGTAAACCAATTCTGGACCCTCATGTCAATCCAAACCTGTATGACTTTCTTTCTTATGCTGAGCACAAGAGAAGATATTTTAAAGAACATTTTAACTGGTTTTGTCTGTACAGCGAAAGTCAATGTGGTACAAAACAAATGGACCTCACTGACTTTTACTGTATTGCAGTAGCGGCTCATGGGGTTTAAAATAGAGGAGGCACACTAATTGTATTGGTCTGGGATCCCTGCCGATTATTATTATTATTTGCTTAACCACTTTAAATGAGCTTTTTGGTTGCTTTTAGTCAGAAAACGTAAAGAAAACGACACAAAAACAGCAAGATAATATAATTTCACTTACC